ATTATTATAACAATAATAATGATAATAATAATAATAATATTAATAAATGTGGCATGACGTGGCGGAATCTGGAGCTCGTCAATTTTTGGGCATGTGGGGTTATTTGTATCATCTTAAAGCCTGTTCATTTGCCATCCTTTTGGTGAGTAAGATATCGATCTATGTTGAATAGAAGTCGAAATATTAGCGATTGAAGGAAGTCAGGTGTCGTTTGGTTTCAGAAGTATAATTAGCGAGAAAATGGTCAACAAAAGTTGGTGACTTCCAAGCTGGAGAGTTCTTGGGAACTGAAAACTTACATTTTTCATGCCTTTAAATGTTTTTCAGTAAAATCCACACAGAAATGTGTTTTTAAATGGACGTACAAGATGCTGAGCCAGAAAGAGAAAATTAGACAAAAATTACTCATCGGCCCAAAAATACCGATTTCTTTGATTTAACTACTTTGACGAGAGCCTGATTTCACCACGATGCCAGTATAAAGTTATTAGAGCTCATATCCCGCTCAAAGCAAGCTCTATTCGCTTGATAATCTAAATTATTACCCTAGCAGACCCTTGAATTCTCAAAGACAATTTCGGCTTCCGGAAGCATACAGTGGAAGCAGCGGATTACACTAGTTTGAACATCAACAAACTGACATGATACTTCGCTGTCTATAGCTGGGACCTCACTCCCACCTGTGTGCAGTGAGGAAAAATCGTGTAAAAGCTGAAAGGTGCCTTTCCCAAGAACACAACGTTGGACCCCTAACGGGATTCGAACCTACAACCCTTCGATTACGAGCACGAGAGCCGAACCAGTAGACAACCAAAGTATGATTTCTTTTGGGGATTTCTTTTCTGACGCAGCGGATCTGCACCAATACAAGATGACGTCATAGAGTAGAAATGAAATACATTATAATCGAGTAAGTTGGAGAAAACCTGTCGAGGTGTAATGAGGGATAAACTTGATGAACCGCAACAAATAACGTCACGCGCTTACATGATTTTGTTTTTTAAAGCCACAACACAATTGCTAAAAGTTAGTGAACAAATGAGATTAAGATAGGGGGACGTCAGCAGTCAAGTGGGCAGGCTACCGGACCCGTAATTAATCGTAATCAGGGATTCAAGGCTCGGCTCGAAAATAATTTTTTTTTTAGTTTTGGTTTTTGTTAAAGCACTTGCAACACAAGCAGGTCATTAAGTGCCGTAGATTTGAGGTGTTACAAGAGAGTAACAAACACAAAATGAAGGAGGAGAGATAAGGGCGGTTAATATTCTATAGGAAGGAAGAAGTTAACCATACCAGAGCACCCGCCGACGACCCACGAAATGATCTTTACAGGAATTTGGCCCTTTGGCTCGGTTGCTTTGCCTGTTTCCTATCCGTTGTCTTCCATTTTGAAGTCGTTGTGAAGCCAGTTAAAATCTGACCTTCGCTCTATTCCATCTGCCTCTGTTACATGATCCTTCTCTCTCTCTCTCTTTCTCTCTCTCTCTCTCTCTCTCTCTCTCTCTCTCTCTCTCTCTCTCTCTTTCTCTCTCTTTCTCTCTCTCTCTCCCTCTGTCTCTCTCTCTCTCTCTCTCTCTCTCTCTCTCTCTCTCTCTCTCTCTATTTGTTTAGACAAATTGTATTTTTAAGTGTAATCTTCCTACGTATGATTATTTGGTAATATTACCCAATTACATAAACCATTATTTCTTTCACCACTAATCTCATCTTGCAAGTGAACAATTTCTTTCGCCTCACTGGTCGGACAAATAGGGACATGATTAAAATGATGAGGTTAGGAAGGTCGGCGAACAACCAAAGACATTCTTTGTCAAAAGCAAAGCATTCTCGCACCACCACAAATGTCATAGTCTGTTCTTCCATAAAACAAGCTGGAATCAGTGTATTAATCTGTCAGATTGTCCTCTACGATCCAATCATTCCCATCCGATTAGTCCGACAAGTGTCTACCTGATTTAACCATTGGAATATGGCGGGGAAAGAGTTGAGATCTGTGAGATTTACTATCCTTGGAGTCAAAATGAAGATACACCGAAGCAATACTTGTTGGCAAGTACGTTTGCCGCTCCTTTGCAATGTACAGCTGAATACAAAAAAAGGTTCACTTTTCATGGCTTTTGGTGTAAATGTATGACCCTAGCATCTGTCGGTGGTACTGGTAGTTTAGTGGTTCGACTAGGACTGGCACACCGTAAATAGTGGGTTCGGGGTTATGAGGCTCAGCTCAGTCCGACGTTGTGTTCTTTGGAAAGGCTCTTTACACGATTTTTTGTTTGTTTGTTGATTGTTGTTTGTTTGCTATTTAGCTCGGTCCTATCGGTGATGGAGGTTGAGTTTGGAAGTCCCGCCTCCAGAATAATCACAAAGTGTGGCAATGAGGTGTTGAACACCTTAGGGTGGTTTTAAGGGATACAAAGTGTGAGACAGAATTTTAAATTAGTTAAGAATATTCCTTTTGAAAGGCCATATTGAATGTTTGTCCTTTTTCTTTAGAGGAATCTTACGTCCATAGTGTGATGTGCATACCGTCTTCGACTTTTCTGTTATAGTATGACTGTTTGCTTATGTGTAAGCGTTAATCTACAGGGCACAGTGCATGTTCATTAACTTGTACTTTGTGTTAGGATGGAGGCATTTTAAAACGCTTAGGGCAGCTACATGCGGAAGTGGGTGCTAGAGAAAACATTCTTCTTCTTCTTCTTCTTCTTCTTCTTCTT